GGGATTAATAACAGAGGCCTGAATCATGTGTTCAAGCACTTGCAAATTCCTTTCTGCCAGCAGAAGCCCATTCTTCTCCATTTTTATTCCGTTATCCTGAGAAGGTCAGGTGACCTGTATATTTCTGAATCTTTATATGATGCATTTTTCCATTTGGGGAAAGAAAACCACTCAGCTCCCCAGATTTGATTCAGAAGAGGTACTGGAAGTATTTGTGGTCAGAAATTGTTAGCAGAGTGAGACTAGGGGATCTGGGAAAGGTAAGACATTATACTTGTAAACCTCATCACCTTGGCAAAGGTAAAGGTGTCATGGGAATAGATGAAAGGAAGAAAGCTCTCATAGAATGAACCTGGGTAGGACAAATAGACTTTAAAAGAGTTAGGAGAGATAGAATGTGAAAGAAGTTTAAGCGTTACCTCTGAGTCTCATTCTCAACTTTTAGGAGAACAAGTTCACTCACAGCTTCTAGAAAGAAAAAAAAAACTGAGGGGGCTAACCATGCTGTGTTAGCATCTCGGGGACCCCCTGCCTCTGCCTGCTACAAGATTGTGTCACACAAACCTTGCCAAGACTGCAGAGAGCTTCATTTACCACCATGAATATATCTCCACTAGCTGGTGTTCATATTAAGGAAAACAATTAGCAAGTTAATTAATTGTGTTTTTTTCCCTGCTTCTTTATTTGCAAAGCTGCTTTGCCTTGATCAGTAGTCTAAGCACTTTTATGAGCTCACCGACCTTACTTCCAGGGTTTGCAATGCAAAGTTTATGAAAATATAACATTTTGGAAAAGAAAACTAATTAAAGTGAGAGTTTAACTTCTAATGACAGTAACTCAGTGGACAGTTTTTATACATTTATTTACACTTAATTTTTGGAATAGAAGTGGAGATATATTTTCAATTTTTCTTCCCAGAGTTTTTCATTAATTGACATTCAGTATTCACCCTGAGAAGCATGTAACACTGGCAGCTCACCCATTTAGAGGTCAAGTTTTCAGTACTTCCTGAATGAAACAAACCCAGAATAAGCAATCAAACAGCCTGAAATGAAAGAAAAGATGAAAGTCTGTTAAAAAGCCCAAGAATTTTATTAAATTAGAAATATAGAATCTCTCACTGGCCAGAAGCTATGTAAAAAATACAAACCAAGTTAGTTGCAGGATTTTCTGATACCAGAAACAGGGACCAAATTAACATAATATAAATACTATAATCTGGGATCATTAAACTTAGGGACTTTCCATACCTTAATATTTTTCCAGAGCTTCACAACTCATAAGAGCATTGTTATTCGTTCTCTTAATTCCATCTTCTCAAAAACAAAATCAAATTATGTTTGGTATATTCTTTAAAAAGGGTATTATGATTAATATTCTTTACCAATAATTCAATTAAAATGATATTTTTCTGAAAGATGACTCTTAAAGGCTGTGATTTATCTTAAAAATGAATTTATGTGTACTGCCTCTTTCATGAAGATGCTAGATGAAGCATTCCTATATGCCGTTGTACATGCTGCTTCCTGCCTTACTCATAAATCAGGTATTTTACTCCCAATTTTAAGATGGATAAATGAGCTATAGTTAGGTGAATGGATCTAAGCAATGTTTGAGTTTGCCAGGGCCAAGACAAGACATCATCAGCTCTTCTGTTACTGATTTCATTCTCTGTAAGTTCGGTTGAAGGGAAAACAAGGAGAGGCCCACTGCTGTTGTTTTTCTGGCTGTACAAATTGTCTGTTTCTCTCTCTCTCTCCCCCCCTTCTCTCTCTCTCTCTCTCTCCCCCCCCCCCCCTCCCCCTCCCTCCCTCCCTCCCTCTCTCTCTCTCTCTCTCTCTCTCTCTCTCTTACTATCTCTCAATGCTCAGAATTGAAAAAGGCGCTCTTCACTTTAGCTAAGTGCAGAGTACAACATTTCAATGTTTTTCCATTGTAAGTCAGGAAAACATCACTACACATGTAGCATGACAGTAAGGCATTTGGATTTATAGACCTGCAAAGCCCAATTCAGATGGATTCTGCATTGTGGCGTCAGTGAAATGAAGCAGCATGTGTCATGAACTGAGCATTTAGCCAATGCCAAGCACATGGTAAGAATCTAATGTATCCTTTGCTTACACAGGAGGTAAAGGTATCTAGTGTATCCCTTGCTTACATAGGAAGAATATATGAAATATTTTATGGTATCGTTTCTGTAGTTCACCCAAACCTGGATTCTGTTTGATATTAACCAAGTCACATTTTGCTCTTATCCTGACATTCACCCCTCATGGTTAGCTATCACACTTCCAGCCCACGGCTCCTGGTAATCTGCTGTGAGTCATCACGGATTTGTCTAATAATCCCTCTTTGAATGGTGGTATGGTGTTCACCTCTTGAATACCATATGTTTTGTATTTTCTGATCAAAGCTGTCACTTTCTTTTATTCCTATTCTAAAGTCTCTTTCTCTCTTTCAGATGTCATGGGATAACTCTTTACTATTTAGTTTGTTCACAAGGTCAGGTGACCAGAATGCTGGCTCTGCCACTAGCTAGCTCTGAGACCTTATTGACTTAACATTACTAGGCATCAGTTTCTCACTACTATAGCAAATTATAGTGCCTAAACTCTCTAATGTACCTTCTACCTATAAAATGCTATTATTTTATAATTCATACTCCTCATGATTCCATAATCTTTGCTCATATCTCCTTAATCTAGAACAATGCTATAATCATATATATCATATATATATATGATAAGAACAACTCATAAGAACACTGTTATTCTCTTAATTCCATCTTCTCAAAAACAAAATCAAATTATGTTTGGTATATTCTTTAAAACGGGTATTATGATTAATATTCTTTACCAATAATTCAATTAAAATGATTTTTTTCTGAAAGATGACTCTTAAAGGATGTGATTTATCTTAAAAATGAATTTATGTGTACTACCCCATATCATATATATATATATATATATATGATATATATGATTATAGCATTGTTCTAGATTAATTTGGAGATCTTTTATATATACATAATTATATATATACATATATGTGTATATGTAAAATATATATACATTTTATATATAAATTATATACATATATACATGTGTATATATATATATACACACACATATATACACATGTATACACATATATACACACATATATATACACACACATATATGCACACATGTGTGTGTGTGTGTGTGTGCATATATATATATGTAAAATCATTTGGAGATCTTTTTTAAACCACCTGGTGCTGGGACCCTACGCCAGACCAGTTAATCTAGGAGTGGAGTCCGAATTTGTTTTGAAAGCTCTCCAGTTGATTGTAATGTGCAGCCAGAATTAAGAACTACCAGTCTTCACTAAAGCATCTTGATTTTATCTTTGGCATCTCTACCAGTCACTATTACAAAAAATCAGACAGAAAGCGTGTTTGTCTGTTCTGTGTTGCTATAAAGGAATACCTGAGGCTGAGTAATTTATAAGGCAAAGAAGTTTATTGTGCTCACAGTTTGTCAGGCTGTGCAAGCATGGTGCCAGTATCTGCTCAGCTTTTGGTGAGGTCACAGGAAACTTCCAATCATGGTGGAACACAAAGGAGGAGCTGGTACATCACATGGCAAGAGTAGGAGCAAAAGAAAGATGGAAGATGTGCTACACTGTTTTCAATGAAGCAGATCTCATGTGAACTCAAAGCAAGAACTCACTCATTACTGCAAGGAAGGCACCAAGCCATTTATGAGGGATGATCTTCTATGACCCAAACACCTCGCACCAAGCTCCAGTTTTAACATTGGAGATCACATTTTAACACGAGATTTGGAGGGGACAAATATCTAAACTATATGAGAAAGAAAGAGAAAAGTGTTCTAAGATCCCTCTTTATAGAAGCAGAGGAGCAAGGGACTAGGAGTCTGATAGAAGGCAGGTAGCTAAGAACAGAGAAGCTATTGCATTGGGAAAGTATAATTTTATAGGCGTGGAATATAACTCTTGACAAGCTTGGCTGGTTGGATTCCAGGATACCCAAGAAAAGAGTAGTTGGTCTCTATTTTAACCAGTTTCAACTCGTTCTAAAAAGTTTTCCCCACGAAAATGCACCTCCAGTTTTATATGGTACAGTAGTGGATATAAAGCATGCTTTACAATTATGCTTCAGGGCCAGTTTTGCTGAGATGGCACTCTTCCACAAACATGGGGCATACACACATCTGTTATGATTCTATCCCAGGGTCCCACGTTGCTTGCCTTTCTTTCTCATAAATTCTTCTTCTTTGAAAAGCCATCTTGTAGCAGTTGAATTGGAATCCATAATTCAGTGCTTTTTATTCTTGACTATGAAAGTTTTATATTTCTTCCAATAGAAAAGAAATGGTTAGATTTAAAGCCGTATATGCTTAGGGCTGAGACTGTCATGAAATTCTACAACTGTATTTGATGACAACAATAAAAGGGTGAGTTATGAAGAGTTAGGTTTAGGGTGAGGGGCATCATAGTGCAGCAGAGAGGACACTGACTTACTCTCAAACTGGAAGTTAGACTCATTCTGCCATTAAGCGGTTTGATGCTGCCAACTTCTTTTTAACCTTTAAAACATTTTTAAACCTGTTTAACTGTGATATTAGTGTGACAGGATCATCTCTAGGGTCCCTTTAAGCACATAGGTGCCATAGTTTCAAACTCATGTGTCACTAGCTGCATTTTCTTTGGCTAATGAATGGATTTCTGGTCCAGTTGTTCTTTTTGAGTGATACTGAAGTTTCTAAGATTTTAATGAGATGTACTCGCCTGTCAGGCTGAGAGCTCATTGACTGTCTTCTCACAGGCAATAGACCAGAGGACCTTATAAGCCCAACCATATTACTACATCCTGTTTGATTGTCCATTTTATTTTATACAGGGTTTCACATCTGCAGGAGAAATTTCTTTTTTTATTAGTAGTACTATTTCACTAGTATGTGAAAATCTGTTTATTATTTTTAACATTTCTAAGACTGTTTCCTTCGGCCCTTGGTTTAATGCTGTCCACTACCCAGGAGCAAAACTCTTTCCATGGCAAGAAACATCGAATACCTGTAGTGGGTGAGTGAGACAACTTCATAATTGGCGTGTTTGTATTAACAGTGTTTCTGCCTTGGTTAATGTATTTTTGCCTTAAGTAATTCCAGTTTCCCTAGGACAATATTTATAGGTTTCTGTGGGCCATATAACTTTGCCTGTCAGATATGCACAAAGTGTGTCTTTAAAAATGAGGAAGCCAATTCTCTTTGATAGCTTCTGAATAAACGTTCACTCTCAAAAGCTTTAACATTAGCTATCAATTGACACTTGAATATAAAATAGGCTTTTAAAATCTATCTTCTTAGTTGGCTAGCATCTGTTTTGTCATATACCCAATAAGCACAGGTAGTAAAAATTCATATTGTGATGCCAATGTTTGTGACAGAGGGTTTCATGGACACGGTGAAAATGTTGATTTGCACCACATGCAGGCACTGGTTTTCCACTCTTTCTTGTCAAGCTCCCACAGAGGAACCTCAGAAGCAGGATTGCCTGGGGCACACAGTTCAGCTGAACCAACAGCCAGTGCAGAGAAGTTACCAGGTAACACAGATGCGTATCGTCACAGTAAAGAGGCACAAATGCCCCCTGATTTTTTTCTTGGCAGGGAGGCTCTAAAACAAAAAGACCGACTTATGAGACAGTTTGGCTCTGAACAGTGCGAGACATTGAGTCAGATCATGGCAAGATAAAATCCAGACATGATTTATATTGAAATAACATGCTTCTCACACAGAGCACTTTCTTTGGAGAGGCATACTTATGCACTGAAATGGATTTTTAAAAAAATTTGTACTGTCAAGCCAGCGGACAGTATAAAAAAATGGCATTCTGATAGCAGTTTGGGTCAGCTCTCCCATTTTGCTTAAAATGATCATATTATTTGTCTCTTGACTTATTTAAATGATTTTGTTTCCAGAGGGATTTGTTTGCTAGGATATAGAAGATTCAATCATTCATTCAGTAAATATTTACTGAGCATCTACTCAGCTTATGTTCGAGGTTCTATTTCAGATGGGAAGCCCTCTTGAGCTTGTATTTTAAGAGAGAAGCAGAATTAATACACAAATAAGTGAAAGATATGGTGTGTCAGATTGTGATAAATGCATTGGAATAAAATAAAGCCAGGCATAAGGATAAGGCACGCATTGATGAGGAGAGGGTGCTATTTTAAATAGCATAGTCAGAGAAAGCCTCACTGAGTGAATAATATATGGGCGATTAAGAAATAAGGAGCAGGAGGTGCATCTGTCTAGGGAAAAGTGGTGGGGTTTGGAGTAGGATGGTCTTAGCAGAGGTGTTGAGCAGTGACAGGTTCTCAAACTGTTTTGGAGGAGGTAGAAATGACAGCATTTTCTTCCAGATTGGATTTGGGGTATGAGAGAAAAATGATCGGGTTGACTCCAAAGTTTTTGGCTTGAATGACTGTAGGATGGAGTTGTCATTTACTGGTATGGGGGAGACTGTAAAAACAAGTTTAGAACATGTAGAATTGGTATATCTGAAGTTTGAAGCATTTATTAGACATCCACCTGTACAAATCAAGTGGGCAGTTGGATATGCAAGACTGGGCAAGATCTGTGATGAGACATACATTCGAGGTTATCAGCTCTTAGATGGCATTCAAAGCTCCAAGGCTGGATGAGATAATTTAAGGTAATGATTCTCAACTGAGACCCACCGTTAGAAATTCTTCTGCAATTGGTCTGTGATGGATCTCAGGCTTTGGCATTTTTAAAAACTTCCCAAATGTTTCTTATCTTTGTCTTAACCTGCGATATAGGTTAAGTACCTCTGACTTAGAGACTGAGTGTTGCTAGAGATGAGAAATACTCTTAAGACAGAGTTCAAGAAGCATTTTAAGGTCAAGAATATGAGGAAGAACCAGAGAAGAGAATGAGCTACTGTGAGACAGAAGGAGAATAAGCAGAGTGAGGGATTCTGAAAGCCAAATCTAGCATATTAAGGAAGAAGGAGTGATTAAATAAATGTTGCAGACACATCAAACAAATGAAAACTGAGAACTGACCATTGGATTTAGCAAGTTGGGTCTTTGGTGGCTTTACAAAAGCTGAATCAGTAGTCCAACAGGGTGATGTCTTGGCTGGAGTGGATTCAAGAGAGAATGGGAAAAGAGAGATTGGAACTCATCTTTCTAACACCATTCTTTCAATGAGTTTCTGTATAAATGAAAGTAGAGAATCAGGGAGTTAGCTGAAGTAGGAGGTGGGGGAAAGAAAGTTTCATTTTTTTAAGATGGGAAAAAGAGTAGCATGTTTGTATGCTCTTGGAAATGATCCAATAATAGAGAGAGGAAAATTATACCATAGGAGAAGGAAGGAAGAACTGATGGAGCAATCCCCTTGGGTGTGGAAGAAAGGGATGTGTGTGCAGTGAATGCTTTAATTTGGGTGACAGCATGGCCAGTTTCTCCACATAACAGAAAGGAAGGTTTGAATATACGGGCCATTTCCAGTAGGTGAATGCTGCTGGTGGTGGGTACTGGAGGACATTCTCTTTTGACTGCTTGTTTTCTCAGGGAAATAGGAAGCAAGGGCTTTAGATGAGAGAAGGCATAGGAAGGAGAGATTAGAGGCCTGAGAAGTGACCATAGTATGAAATACATGTCAGGAAAAATGAATGAGTTTATTGCAGCACTATTCACAATAGCCAAGATTTGGAAGCAACCTATATGTCCATCAACAGGCTAATTGATAAAGAAAAAGTGGCACATATATACACAATGGAGTATAATTCAGCCATAAAAAAAAATGAGATGTTGTCATTTGCAACAACATGGATGGAAGCGGAGTTCTTTATGTTAAGTCAATGAACCAGGCACAAAGATAAACATCGCCTGTTCTCACTTATCTGTGGAGCTAAAAATTAAAACAGTTGAACTCATGGATATGGAGTAGAAGGATGGTAACCACAGGCTGGGAAGGGTGTTTGGGAGAGGAAAGGAAGCGGGGATGTTTAATGGGTACAAAATATATTTAGAAAGAATGAGTAAGACCTAGTATTGGCTAGCGAAACAGGGTGACTATAGTAAAAGATAATTTAATTGTTTATTGAAAAATAACTAAAAGAGTATTACTGGATTGTTTGAAATGAAAAGGATACATGCTTAAGGGATGGCACTCTATTTACCCTGATGGGATTATTATGCATGGCATGCTTGTATCAAAATATCTCTTGTAATCCATAAATACATGCTCTTACCATGTACCCACAAAAATTAAAAGAAGAAAACAACAACAAAAATGAACGAGTAAGTGGATGGGGAAATGTAGAATTGATGGACAGTTCAAGGGTCACAGGTTTAGTTTGAGACAGCAGCTGTATGTGTGCTTTTCAGCTGCATTCGGCTGCTTGCCTGGTGCAGAGAACCTGGGGAGTCAGATTTAACCAGGGTGGAGTTCTCAACAGGTGAATGCAATATAGCTAGCCACAGAGTTAAGCTATATGCAATGGTGTGATTCTAATGATGAACCCTGTGATGTATACTAGACTGGGGAAAGTGAGGATACCAGAGGAGTGGGGCACTGGTGGTCTGGGTTGGGTCAAAAAAATTGCTGAAGCCATGGTTCTAGTAATTCACTATGGTATGAAACAGCTGTTCTGATGAAAGGTAAACACATTTGTTACTGAAGCCAATTTTACTTTGAATCTACTTAAGTTTTTAACCATTGAAATTAGTTAAATTATGCAAAAAGAGCCATAGGTTTGAACATTAATATGCATTCTTTCACTTACAATTATGAAATGAATATGTTAGTGAATGATCTGAAAACAATTAATGATTGCTAGAATACATCTCAGTCGTCTGTCTCTTGTAAATTAAAAAATTACCAATGACAGAATTAAACTATCCTGAGCACTTTTAAAATATTTATGCTTCTTTGCAGCCTCAGTGGTTTGGGGAATTGATGACAAGCAGCAAAATATATGTCTCCTCCTACTTTGTAAATCACTTTAATTTTGCCACATAGCTGAAAAGGGATTCACTACAATCAAGAAACACTTCAAAAACCTAATTGATAAAATTGCGTTATGTAAGACTAATGCCAGAGCGATAAGATGCTTGACTTTGATAAGATTTTGTTCGTTACACTTCAGAATTGCTATATGTGAGTGGGGAATTATCTACTTTATAACCTAATCAAATGGTCTGACTCATTGAATGAAGAGGGCAGCTTGGATGTGCTGTTCCATGCCTGCCTTTCTGATTGGATGAGGAGTGGCAACTTCCTGTAGCATTAGAACCTGGCATGGTGCACCCACATGCAGGTGTCCTGTTTCCCCCATACACCCTTAAGGCCAGGTCACTTCCCATCGACTCCATCCTGGTCCTGGCTTATGTTCTGATGTCTGATGCCCAAGCCCACCTACCCACCAATATCATGTCACAGGTATGAGGACATCATGAACTTGTGCTGTTTACCTCTTTCATTATGGTAAACATATGATTTCCAATTCTGCAAAGCAGAGTGTTTCTTATCTTAAAGAAGTTATAACTTTTGGCATTTTGAAAGTTAAAGTTTTGAATACATTCAAAAACCATAAAAACAGATACAAACCTCCCACAATTTTGAGGTTTTATTACTATAAAATAACCTATACCAAATACACTGTCACATTCACATTCTCATATATACCTCACTGCACAGATGAGGGTGGCAAGTCACAAATCTGAGTCTATGTACAGCAGACATTGTCACTGTGTGAAGATGCCCTCAGTGTCAAAGTGTGGCAGTTTAGATGATCAATGTTAATCAATAGTTGCATGAAAACAAAACATATCACCACCTGAAAGGGACTGCATAGATACTTTCTAAAGCAGATGCCATCAACAAGAGGAAGAAGGATTTGAAGGGGAACTAGACAGAGAGGCTGATATGTCTACAGAATGGTGATTGGGAAGCACAGTTTTATACTCCCTGATATTTGAATTATGTTTGTTTTATTTTGTTTGAAATAGCATCTGGGAATCATTTGTGTCCACTGTACTAATTTATTTG